CTTCGGGGATGTTGTGCGTCACGGTGAAGGTCTTGCCGGTATCCAGGGGAACGGTCCAGTTGACCGGGTCAGGGCTCTTCACCATCATCTTTGGGAATGAGACAATTAGCATAGAGTTTTACAGTTTACATTTTTTATTGCTAAAACAGGTAAAAATGTTTCTTTGTTTTTTCTCTCTATTATGCATATAAAAAAGGCACTAATACTTACAATACTAATCTCCAAACATGAGAAACTAATATCTGTTTTAGGGAATTTGGCAATCATTTGCAGATCTCTTACTTGTGTTTAAACAAATTCAATAACATGTCACAGAAAGTTATGACCTAATCTGATGAAATTCCTTTAAATTGGTACCAGAGAACAAACACAAAGAGCTAAAAGGAGCATTATCAACACACATGCCTTCTACAAAGGGACAATAAGAAGACCCACTCAGGAGTCCTGAAACTAAATTCCTAAATTTTATATTCTATCTCATAATAGAAGGAGCTGCTCATGATATCAGTTCTCTAGGAATGTGGATATAATAAAATAATAGAAATAATTCAAACGGGCAATATGCAACCTAATGTATGTTTTTTTTTTTCGTGGACAACAACTAAAGCATATAACAGTATGTAACATCTAACAACACATAAAGCTTCACAAGTATTAACCCGCTTTATGCGGAGACACCGATGTCATTTAGTACCAGTGGAACATATGGTAACACCAATGTTGGCATCATATTTCCATTTGATTTTAGATGTTGCTGAATGATCCAGTATTCTGTACTGGATCTATTTTTAGACCTTGTAAACTGCCCTAGAGATTCTGTAGCTCCAGCCACCATCCCTGTTTCTGCCAATTATATACATCAGCTAGATATGCCCCACCCCATACCCAGAAAGAGGAACAATCATTGGCAGATTCTACATCACAGTCTCCCCCTCTGAGGTCCTTCCCCTGTCCTCCATATCCCCCTATTCCTTTACCTAACCCCATACCCCTCCATCAAGGATGTGAGACTATACGGAGGGGGGGGGGAGTACACATGCGCCCTCCCTAATTCATTTGTTGTCCTTATACCCCCCCTCTCCCTCTCCTTCCTTTCTCAAACATTTTGCACCAAATATATTTAAACGATTTCATATTTGACAATCTTTGCATCTCTGCCTCCCGCTTCGCTCTCTCTCGGGCATGGGTGTGTGTGTGTGTGTGTGTGTGTGTGTGTGTGTGTGTGTGTGTGTGTGTGTGTGTGTGTGTGTGTGTGTGTGTGTGTGTGTGTGTGTGTGTGTGTGTGTGTGTGTGTGTGTGTGTGTGTGTGTGTTGTGTGTGTGTGTGTGTGTGTGTGTGTGTGTGTTGTGGTGTGTGTGTGTGTGTGTGCGTGTGCTTGTGTTGTGTGCGCGTTGCATGTGTATTGCGTGTGTGTTGCGTGTGTGTTGTGTGTGAGGCAGAAACTGTATTAGATAAAGAAACATTCAGGATGACACAAAACTAATTTACCACTCGTTGGCAAGAGACCTGTACACCAGCAAAGCGCGCTTTTTAAACCAACAGATCAAATCTGTTAACAATCCCTTTATGGAATCAAAATATCATGATACTTTTTATCATTTCCTCCATTATCATTTATACATGACTATTCTATGTTAAATAAAAATATGTCTGCATCGTGAGTATCATTTTTTCTTCCCATCATACTGTCTCTCTCACACTTTCTCTAAAATAGTTCTATGGATCTCTTGAGTTATCGTATACTCATATATACACCTTCATTAAATTTTTTTTATTACTCTATATAATTGCTACAGCTAAATATATCTAGCCTTTTTCTGACAATTTCTCTATCTACTTCTGTATTGTATGCACACTCTTACATTTGTTATTTTAAGTTCATAATCAAGATTGCAATTGCTTTATGTACAGTATAAACAGGAATATGCAATGAAATTATCATAAAGGAATGACCTATGAAAAGAACCTATGAGAAACTTTCAGGAATAAGCAGATTCATGGGCCTATGAAAGTAAAAAACAGTGCATATCTGTTTTGGAACTGTAACGTGTGTAAGAATTTACAAGTAACAGTAAATCTTTCCTTCAGTGCAAATACAAAACTATAGACACTGTGGAATCACTACACACATCTAAACTCCACAATGAGAAAACAAGAGAGAGTGTAAAAAGTCCTGCGAAAACATACCCATTTACCAACCTGGTCTGGTGACTTGACTCGGGTAGGCTCTGGGGGAGTCTTGACCACTGGTTCGTACTTCTCGGGGTCGAATCTGGGCTCGGGGGTCGATTTCCTTGCGCTGGACTCCTTCACAGCCTCAACAGGTTCCTTGGGGCTGTCTTTAACTCCATCCTTCGCAATGTCCTTGGGTCCATCTTTAGGCACAATCTCCTTCTCTTTGTCCTTCTTAGAGTCAGTTTCCTCACCTGTTGAGATAACTTATGTTAACAAGTGAACATGTTTCTGCCAACAGAGCCCAGGGTAGTTAACTATCAAGCAT